ATGAAGAATACAACCCAACAGAAATTATATAAAATGAAGATGGCCAACTTTAATAGAACCTAACAAAATTTTATCAAGGTGGGTTAATTACTTTAAATCATTACTTAGCTGCCATAAAGCAAAGGAAAGCAGGGAAGAACATAAACACAACTCAGAACTAACGGCAGAGGAACTAAAACCAGGCATATTATTAGATGAGATAGAGTATGTCATTCGTACCGCCCCTAGACTAAAGGCGACAGGTATTGATGAACTACAAGCTGAGGCCATTAAGGTAGCAGGAGAAGCAGGAGCAATATGGTTAAAGAGAATATTTCAGGTTGCATGGGAAAATCAAGAAACACCATCAGATTGGCAAACTGCTGTCATCGTTCCGCTATGGAAAAATTAAGGAAGTAAGAGGGACTGTACTAATTACAGAGGAACATCGCTTCTCAGTCACCGTGGGAAAATGTATGCTAAGATCATCGAAAAAATGCTAAGACCATTGATTGATAGAGTATCAACTTTCAGAAGCATAGATGGGGTTTCCACGAAACAGAAGTTGCAATGAAGCCAACTATCAGAGAGAGCAATAGAACAGACAACTATCAGAGAGAGCAATAGAACAGGATAAGACTTGTTTAACATTCACAGACCAAGAAAAAGCTTTTGACAGAGTTGACAAGAATAGGCTGTGGAAATGTATGGGGGAAAAAGGAATGAACAATCATCTCATTAATATTTGCAAAAGCCTGTACACACGTAGTAAATGCTGCCTAAGATGGAAGACAGGATTGTCAAGAACTTTTGTAGTGAACAGGGCTGTTTACTATCGCCGCTTCGTTTTATAACATACATGGATACAATATGTGATTTAGCAGCCGGTCTGAGGAGAGACGAGGTGTACACAGTACGTGTCTTTGCCGTCGAAGTGGGAGCGAGAGGTCTCGTCTCCACTTCGCTCTACAATGTGGTTAAAGAACTAGGATTAAAAAACGGAAACGGACACTTAAGCGGCTGGACGAGGTTGCTGAAACTGCCTCGAGCTGGCTTTGGACGCAACGGAACAACGTAGGGGACGGGCCTCGGTGAGCTGGTCCGGGTGTCTAGTGGAAAAGAGTTTCTCAACCCTTGAAAGTCCATCGTGTCCGAATTGTCTGCCAGTGTTACTCTGCCACCTGCTAACAAAAGTCTAACATGTGTCCGGTATACCAATCGTAAGCTTGTCGCTTGGTCGTCCATGTATGCAGACTGCTCTAATTATTGCTACCGCTACGACTTCTTATCTCACAGTACCTTCTGCAAAATTACCAAGTCGCCTTGTCCCTATCCGAACACCATCCGGTAATTTCGTGCAGCAGGGAAACCAACCCGGAGCTTCATGAACTCAGGTGGGCCCACTCTCTGAAAACGTCTAGGAGCTCGTGGGCTGAAACGTTTGTCGACGAGAGATTACTTCTACTGACGATTGGTAGATCCCTGCAGTACATGCTCCCCTGTGGAGTTTATTCCTATTGTAAGGAAACGAACTTTTATCACGAAGAAGATATTACAGAATTACTTAGCGGGTAGCGTAAAGTTATTCAGCGGACAGTGCGGGTTGTTGTGAATGATATGGGGCGGGGCAGCGTGCGGTGCGCTATGTTGTGGATGCCGTGGGTTGGTTCAGTGGGTAGTGTGGGGCAGTTCGGCAAATAACATGGAATGGTATTGGTGCCACAGTTGGTGTGGTCTGATACTATGACTCTTTTTATAACAAAATATGATAATTATGATAAAATGGGTGGGGGAGGGGGTGGGGGCGGATGCCGTGGTAGTATGATCAGTGATCAGATAGAGTTTCGCGTCTGTTAGGTACATGATACGTTTTAAAAGTCACTAAGGGGTTACAGCCCATAGTGTTTAAATTTTTTTATATCTAAATAGAGGAGGTAAAATGAAAATGTGTGGCAAAGGCGGCGTGTGTCATGTCCTATCAGAAGTAATCTTCATACAAAAAAGGTGACTTACCTACCATACAATGTCCGGATAACTTTTACCTCAGTGAAAACTTGTAAACTTCTGTAATAGACTAAAGTCGTTTTTGCCCACCCAGGGAATTTATTGTCATGTCACTAAGCTGTAGTCAGAGATTTCCTATTCTTTAAATACTAGGCGACCATTTAGTCAACATGTCTTTCACTAACCAGCAACAGCTCGACTATTTTCTGAAATCGACATTCACTGTTTTTCTTACGGCACTAACTATCTATCTCTCAAATATTTCTTACAAAGTGGCAATTTTTTTTCCTTCCCCAAAAATTCACATCTTTATACCTTGTGGTCGTTAAATCAGGCACCGTGGTTAGCGTATCTTTCAATGACTAGAGACCATCTTGAAGACATCCGGTTTTATTTCGTTACTACAAATAAATGTGCGACAGTGACCACTCGACTGCTACAAAGATCCATAGATGCAATATATGCATGAGCTGATAAATGGAATGACAGCATCAAAATAGACAAGTGTAGCACCACTCTCTTCACCCTTTCCCTAAAATATAAATCAGGTGTCGTTCAGATAAATAGAATACCACTTAGAGAGGATAAGGAGCCGATATACCTCGGAGTCACGTTTGTTGATAGGCTAACATAGAGAAAACACATCAACAAGTCAGCAACTAAAGCCAGAAGGAGGAAAGCTATCCTAATGAAACAAAGTGGAACAACATGGAGTGCAAATGGGAAAATACTTAGGAAAGTTTATCAACAAAGTGTACGACCACACCTTGAACACGGGTCAACTGCATGGCGTTCAGCATCAAAAATCACACTACAGACGTTAGACAAGATGCAAAATCAAACACTCATAGTCATAACAGGCGGGATGAAATCAACACCTATAGCTGCGATGGAGAAGATGGTGATGACTCAAACACTGACATAACGAAGAGACACTAAGATACTACAAAAATCAGAAAAGTTTCTCAACATGCCTGAACTCTCTGTGAAGACAAATTCTAAAATCTAGTAGAGGGGGTGAGTAAAAAGAAGCAGTTCCATTTACCAGGCCCAACGACACTGCAGGCAAACCAATGATCTGCCTGCAACTGATAGACCCTTAAAGGCTGTTCCAGATAGTGCCCCTTGGAAAGAAAAATATAATTTGCCAATACATATTCAGACAGAAGTGAAAGGATTATTCAAGGAAGAACCAAACAGTGTGCAACGTAAAACAGCCACCCTTACTCTACTTGATGACCCACATAATATTTGGTCTCGTGTCTATACGAATGGGTCAGCACAAAACCCGCGGTCCCCATTGCAATCATTGCTTCCACAAAAACCACAGTACCCACACCACTTACTGCATCCACATAACCCACAGTATCCACAAGACCCTGCGTCACCTACATCACTCGCGACACCCACACCAAACGCAGCACTGACAACACACCCACTCTACTTCCACACCAATAGCCTCAACCACACCAAAACGTGGGATTCACAACACCCTGCGGTACCTGCACCACCAGCTGTTTTCATGTCACCCGCAGTACCATACATCACTCACAACGCCTTACTACCCGCTGCTTCCACATCACAAGCAGCACTAATACCACCATCCTAATGCAGAAAAAAGGCACTGTGGTTCACAAGCCTATGCGACAGAGGAAACATGTTATCAAGAACTTGAAGAATTTGCTGCAATAAGAATATTATAAGAAAAACTTCACAGCAGAAGCATGCACAGCAGGAGTCCACCAATCATCAGTACAAAATCATCAGTTTTTTGGCAGAGAGACACTGGCAGACTTAATCGGACACTTTTACGTTTAGGAATGTTAAGTTCTGTTCTTTTCCACTAAGATGCTCTTACCAGTCTACCGAGGTCTATCCCCCACGACATTCAGTTGCGTCCACAGTCAGCTCGAAGCCCTATCAGCCTGTTGTTTTAGTGCCCGTTTACGTTCTGTTCGAGCCCATGTGCTTTAGTACATTATAATCGGAGTTGGAGATTAGCCCTCCGGCGCCTACCTCAACTGCGAAGACTGTTACTGTGTACGCCTCATCCTTCCTCAGACCGGCCACCAATTCACAGTACTTTTCGAGCTTGTACAGCTGATTTTCTTCCACCTGCGATTTGTACGGTACGCTATGCTTTATCAAGAGAGTGCAGAACCAAGTCTGGTCTCATGCCAGTCCTTCAGATTTATTTGGTTTATTTTTCTAAACCAGGCAGGTCGACAGCAAGTTACTAGACTCTCGCACAGTCAATTATAGATGGAGCAAATACCATATTGCTGATTTTACTTTTTTGAAATCTGCCCAGCTTTGAAGAAGCGCAAATGGGGGAAAAAGGGGGGGGGGGGGGGTTTTAGCTCTCATCCTGGCTTGATTCACAATGTCCGCAAACTCCTTCAGAACTTTATTGTGTCGCTATGTATCTCTAACTGGCATAGGGCTTTTGTGCACGCTGATAATATGTTCTGCCTGGCTCTGCATAGGGGGACAATGTCGGGTTGGTAGTCACACGCCATAGGGCAATGTTAGTGGAGAGGGTAACACATCGTTAGCAGGTCTTATAACAAAGCTCAGGCGCAGCGAGGACATTCTCCAGATCTCACCCTATGTGAGAATTCGCAGCAAGGCGCTCTAGAGGCCAATCTATTGATCTTGCTGTTACTGTTGGGCGGTTTTTTGGACACGTAAATCGTTTTCGGTGTCCCTTATTTGCTGTGTTACCGTGTCTCTGAGTTCTAAGGCTATAATTATAACATCTTAACGTTCTTAATGCAGAGCGGTCTGGAAACAATTTGCCGGCAGCTGGAATCCAGCCTGGCATGCCGGAATTACAAATCACATTTGCAACGCTCAAGCCACAGATCCTGAGAGACCAGAATATATCTTCATAACATCTTTAGATAACGGGACACTGATTTTCTTTTTTTTCTGCTTAATTATACTTAACAGAAAGTAAAAATTTTTTGCTGCTTGGTGTACAAGCCTCAGTGTTTATATTTGTTTTTTATTTCCAGGTTTTATCCCTCCAACTAAAGGAACTGCAATCATCAATGGTTACGACATATGTGAAAATATAGCAGGTGTGCGGAAAAGTTTAAGTCTGTGTCCACAGCATAATATCTTGTTTGATGTATTAACGGTCAAGGAACATCTATGGTTCTTTGCACGAGTAAGCTAACTTGTGTAACTTGACTGTTTGATGTTAAAACGTAAATTTTTTTCAATTTAGTTTCAAGTGTGCCAATTTAGAAGGCTGTGTGTGAAATTTCAGCTGACTGAATTTAGTGCAAAGATTCTCCTAGATAAACCTTGTAAAGCTGTTGCCCTGGGACATAGATTTCAAGATTATTTGACCTTAAAACAACATTGAATTATACATTTGAATGCACAAATACCAGCAAATAATTGCACAGTTTCAGCAGAGGAATCTAGACTTGTTCAAAACCGACAAGTAAATGGTTCTCCGGTACACGCAACCTTATGTACAAAATAACATAGTGTCACTAGCGGATGCAATCTACCTATCACGTGCATCGCAAACTGTCATGAATATATCTACATTGGACATTATCTAAGAGGATAATGGACAAAAGCCTTATTACTTCTAAAACTGTAAATAGAATCTACCGTCAGTAAACCCTTGTAAAAAAAGATACCACAGTTTATTTGGATAAATCAGTAAAATTTACAGGAAAAAAAAGAACTGACCTGCCTGCTTGTCACTCTTCTCTATAATTGTTTTTAGTTTTGAGTACAATCTGTACAGACTCCTTAGCATATTACCTAATTTCGATACATTTTTTTTCTTCTTTGTGAGCTGAGTCGAACTGGGCTGAGAATCGGCATCACAGCACTCTGAGCATTTTAGTATCCGCTCGCTCCCCATCCACAGCAGTTCGATCCCCTTATTCAGCAGTTCAGAGTTCTTTTTCCAATAGATGCAGTTTGATTATGTATGCATCTTACCTTTTATCTAATTGTGGATCTTTTCGTGCTTGCGCACAGCTCACTTGCTTCAAAAGCTCTTTAACAAAATCCGTATTCAGTTCCTGAAGACCTGCCAACCATTTTTTTTTTCCAAATAATAATAACTGTAACCCAGTACTAGTAACCATTCGGTACGAGTTGTTGAAAATTGGCCTGCACCGTGTTAATAATCATGTCCTTGTGAGAACATTATAGTTTTATTGATGTTAACAAACATGTAGTTTTCAGTTTCCTTTCGATAGGTGAAAAAATAACATAAAAATAGACCGATTCAAAAACAAACCAGCCGCATGCTTACAGTTAATTAACAGGAAACTTTCAAACTGTGCTTTTTTTTTTAGATGTTTCATGAACAGGTGGTCGGTGTTTCATGAACAGGTGGTCGGTGTTCAATGAACAGGTGGTCGGTGTTTCATGAACAGGTGGTCGGTGTTTCATGAACAGGTAGGTGGTCGGTGTTTCATGAGCAGGTGGTCGGTGTTTCATGAACAGGTGGTCGGTGTTTCATGAACAGGTGGTCGGTGTTTCATGAACAGGTGGTCGGTGTTTCATGAACAGGTGGTCGGAGTTTCATGAACAGGTGGTCGGTGTTTCATGAACATGTGGTCGGTGTTTCATGAGCAGGTGGTCGGTGTTTCATGACCAGGTGGTCAGTGTTTCATGAACAGGTGGTCGGTGTTTCATGAACAGGTGGTCGGTGTTTCATGAACAGGTGGTCGGTGTTTCATGAGCAGGTGGTCGGTGTTACATGAACAGGTGGTCGGTGTTTCATGAACAGGTGGTCGGTGTTTCATGAACAGGTGGTCGGTGTTTCATGAACAGGTGGTCGGTGTTTCATGAACAGGTGGTCGGTGTTTCATGAGCAGGTGGTCGGTGTTTCATGAACAGGTAGGTGGTCGGTGTTTCATGAGCAGGTGGTCGGTGTTTCATGAATAGGTGGTCGGTGTTTCATGAACAGGTGGTCAGTGTTTCATGAACAGGTGGTCGGTGTTTCTTGAACAGGTGGTCGGTGTTTCATGAACAGGTGGTCGGTGTTTCATGAAAAGGTGGTCGGTGTTTCATGAACAGGGGTCGGTGTTTCATGAACAGCTGGTCGGTGTTTCATGAACAGGTGGTCGGTGTTTCATGAACAGGTGGTCGGTGTTTCATGAGCAGGTGGTCGGTGTTTCATGAACAGGTAGGTGGTCGGTGTTTCATGAGCAGGTGGTCGGTGTTTCATGAACAGGTGGTCGGTGTTTCATGAACAGGTGGTCAGTGTTTCATGAACAGGTGGTCGGTGTTTCATGAACAGGTGGTCGGTGTTTCATGAACAGGTGGTCGGTGTTTCATGAAAAGGTGGTCGGTGTTTCATGAACAGGGGTCGGTGTTTCATGAACAGCTGGTCGGTGTTTCATGAGCAGGTGGTCGGTGTTTCATGAGCAGGTGGTCGGTGTTTCATGAACAGGTAGGTGGTCGGTGTTTCATGAACAGATGGTCGGTGTTTCATGAACAGGTGGTCAGTGTTTCATGAACAGGTGGTCGGTGTTTCATGAGCAAATCTAGTTTTAGGAGTACACACATTATTAGTCAAACGAATATGAAAGAAATTGGTGCCCTTAAGAAAACCAGCACCTGTGAAATTGTTATTTGTAATCATAAGATCATGGAGAATCTAACAGGAAAAATAAAAAAAAAAACTCTTGTTGATTCATAAATAAATTTTGGAGATAGTTGTTAAAATTTGAGGGCAGGACATTATAAAGGTACCATAGAAAGTGGAGTGTTGCTTGTCAAAGATGATCTGAAAACGCCAGCTTTTTTTTTGGCTTTTTTATTTTGAAACCTCAACGTGACACTTTAAAGATAGGCCCAAGTATTTTTAATGTATTCTCTCTCGTGTTTTTGAATGTATTCTCTCCCAGGTTTTTCAGTGTATTTTCTGTCTTGATATGACTGCCATTGACTCGTTTGTTGCAGTTGTTATTATAATTTTTTTTTATTATTAAGAAACACTATAATCCTGATGCTTTATTTGGGTTGACGGTGCAAAGACTTCAGCAAGTCTTTTATTTAGTTTATGCGGAGTATTTACCAGTAGGAAAACCATTGTTACGCCTTTTAAGCTGGATGCAGAACACATGTATTGACGAGAGAGAATTGTTACTAAAGCTATACTCGTTTTGATTTGGTTATCAATTTATTTTCTTAGTTTTTATTTTAAACCAAGATTTAAATTATGTGTGTCTCACAATACGATATCATTTTTTTTAGATGAAAGGTTATAGGTCACGGAAACTTAACAGGGAAGTCAGAGAAATTGTGAAGGATTTAGGCTTAGAAAGCAAGATGTATTCACAAGTGGGTAAAATGTCTGGTGGGCAGAAGAGAAGTCTTTCAATGGCAATTTCCTTAATTGGGGGGTCTAAGGTAAGTGAATGTAATATTGTCTTGAAACATGCTAACACACGCCTTCAGTTATCATCTAGTAATTATTTCAGGACAATAGGCTGGATGTTTATATTCAAGAAGGTCTATCAGTAATATTATTCCGCAACGGTTCAACATGTCTTACAGGTTTAACCCCTAAAATTGAATGTGATTTTATCTGTTGGAAACAATGCCTTTTGTAGGTACGTACTAGGTACGGACTGAAAAAAAAAAATTTTTTGGAGCTAAAATCTACATATTTTCAAAGATATTGATTTATAATGTCATATTTTATGCGGAAAAAAAGCTGACTTTGTACTCATTTGGCAAGATATTTCAAAAACTAAGAAAAGATGGCTGAATGCAAATTGGCACATAAATTTAACATTATGAACTAATTACTATTTGTTTAAAACTACGGTTTTAAACGTTTCACTCATTTATGGGATACAATGACTTCCCCCCCCCCCCCCCCCCACAAAATTAGGGATTAGGGTTAACATACATGTCAAGAAACCTAAAGTATACAAGCTGCTAATATTTATTATAGTTCAGTCTGTTTCGATGCAATTTTCTGTGTCACAATACATCTATTATTATGTGCAGAAATGAATGAACATTTAGGTAGTGTTTGAAACAAAAGTAAAATTTCATAGTTTTGAAAAAAAAAATAGTCAGTTATTTTGTGGAGTTAAAAAAGGCGAGGCGGAAAGTGGTGAAACCTATCCTAAAATGAGGGTAGAACGGCAATTTGGGAGATTATATTGCCTTCAAGGAAAATAAGGTCTTAGGAGATTTGGAAATGGCAATAATTACAGTGTCTAAAGTGTCATCAATAATGCTAAGTGCATTCTTGACGACCTAGTACAGGCAAAATGTGTGGTTCTCCCACAAAAGTCGTGCGTTTTAAACAGCACCCTATAGGATGTCGTTCGACAATGCTAATAATCATAGTATATGTAGGAAAGAAAAAGAAAAGATTTAATGTAACAATAGAGAATTGTAAGGTGAATGCCACATTCGCTTTCACGATATACTAAAAAATCAAACAGTTAAAAATAGAGAAGACAATAGAAATGTTACTTCTTCTTCTTCTTTCGTTTGCATGAAATAAATTGTCTATATCTGCAAGCCGTCTCTAGTATGAATTTCACTGTCTTTTGTAATTCACTAAGCGACCCGTAAAGTTTGACTTCTACAAGTGTCTCTTTTGGCCAAAGGTTTTGCCTGAAAGCGTTGAATCTGGGACAGTCTTGACGGATGTGATCTGTTGTTTTGGGTGCCAGTCCACAAGTACACATGGCTGATTGGTCAATTTTAAATTTGTTGTACATGTGAGAGCGAAGTCGATTGTGCCCTGTTCTAAGGCGAAGGATAATGACTTGCTCTGGTCTGTCCATAATATGGTAATCATCTTGTGCCAGTTTCGGTGGCATTCTGATTGATTTGATCATTCTCTTCTTCTGTTGATAAGAGACTGGTATGTCAGGTTGTTCTTCAGTTGCACCTTCCTTAGCTAGTTTATCAGCTTTTTCGTTTCCGGAAACTCCACAGTGGAAAGGTATCCACTGCATTACTAATTTACAGCGGTTGCCTAGTTCGGATAATAGTGTCCGTATGCTTGGTAATTTTCCAGACTGGAGTGACTGAAGTACTGCTTTTGCATCTGTCAGGAATACCACTGGTTGTGAAAAATACCCTGTATTTAGTAGTTTCTCTACCGCTATCTTAATGGCTTGAACTTCTGCATCATAGTTGTGACAGTGCTTTCCCGTTGGTAATTTGGCTGTATCCCTGGTATTATTAGGATACTCAATGTACACTCCTGCACCTCCGTTTCTGACTGCGCTTTCTGCTGACCCATCTGTGTAAACACGGACCCAAAGGTTCTGCGGGTATTCATCATCAAGTAGACTGAGGGTGGCTGTTTTGCGCTGCACACTGTTTTGTTCTTCCTTGTCAAATACCCCTTTCACTTCAGTCTTGATGTGTATTGGAAACTTATACTCCTCTCTCCAAGGGGTCCGTTCTGGGACAGCATTTAAGGATCTATCAGTTGCAGGTAAATCAGTGGTTAGTCTGCCGAGCCGTTTGGCCTGGTGGATAAAACTACTTCTCTTTAGTCGTCCCAAAGCTAAATTTTTGAATCTTTCATTCATAGGGTGACTGGGCATACTAAGAAACTTTTCTGCTTGTAAAAGCATCTTGGTGTCTCTGCGTTCACTCAATGCTTGGGTCATCCCTATTTTCTCCATCACAGCTATAGGTGTTGATTTCATACTGCCTGTGGTAACTCTGAGTGCTTGATTTTGCACTTTGTCTAATTCTTGCAATGTGGTTTTTGATGCCGAACTCCATGCTGTTGATCCGTATTCAAGATGTGGTCGAACACTTTGTTGGTAAAATTTTCTATGTATTTTCCCGCTAGCACCCCATGTGGTTCCACTTAGTTTTCTCAGAATGGGTACCCTCCTTCTGGCTTTGGTTGCTGCCTTGTTGATGTGTTTTCTCCATGTTAATCTATCATCAAACGTTACTCCGAGGTATGTGGTATGACGCCTGATTTTTGTTTAGGAGAAAGGGTAAAGAGGGTGGTGCTGCATTTGCCTATGTTGATGCTGACACACCATTTGTCGGCCCAATCAGCCATTGCATCTATGGCTCTTTGTAGCAGTCTGGTGGCCACTGTCGCATTTTCATTTGTACACCAGAGTACCAAGTCATCAGCATACATTGCAGCTTTAATTCCATGGGGTAGTTCAGAAAGCAGGTCGTTGATATAGACTAGGAAGAGTGTGGGGGACAGGACACCTCCTTGTGGGACGCCATGGCGCAGCAAAACTTTCTTACTCTTAAGTCCACCTTTCTGTACTCGGGATCTTCTGTTATACAAGTATGCTTTCACCCATTTGTACACACTCCCATTCACCCTGCAGTCTCTCAGTTTCTTCAGTAGACCTTCTTTCCAGACCTTGTCAAAGGCTTTCTTCAGATCTATCCATGCCGTTAGCACTAGCTTCTTTTCCTGGAAGGCATCCTCAATTTCTTGTGAAAGGTAAGTTGTCTGGTCTTCTGTGGAGTAGCACTGTCTAAATTCTGCCTGCTGCGGCGTGAAAATGTTTTCACTTTCCAAGTACCATTGGAGTCTAAGGTTGACAATACGTTCCATTGTTTTACAGAGGCAGCTGGTAAGACTGATCGGTCTATAGCTGGAGGCATCAGAACTGTCCTTTCCTGGTTTAAGCAGAGGTATTGTGATTGCTTCTCTCCATATTTGAGGAACTTTGCCACTTGTCCAACAATGATTAAAGATCTGTAGCAGCTTTATTTTGGCAGTTGTTCCAAGGTTCTTGATCATTTCGTTGGTGATTCCATCAGTTCCAGGTGATTTTCCCATTCTCAGCTTTGATATTACTAATTCTAACTCGCTGGATGTAAATGCTGCCACCAGTGCCTCAGGAATTATATCTTTTTGTCTTGTATGTTGTTTGTTTTCTTGAACCTCTCGCTGTTTCTCTGGGCTGACATTAATGTTGCTGTCTTCTGCAAAGGAATCTGCAAAGTGGTCAGCTGCCTGTTTTCTTGTTAGGATGGCTCCCTCTTTGCATAGTGCAATATTACCATTTCTTCCCGTATTCTCATTATTAATTTGCCTAATTAACCTCCACAACTTCCTTGTGTCTCTTTCAAAGTTTAGAGACTTTGTCTTTTCCTGCCAGCTTCTCCGTCTAGCCTGCAGTTTGGCTCTTTGAAATTTGGCCTTTGAATGTTGGTAGTTGTTAAACTGCTCTTGACAAGGTCTGGTCTCAGCTTGTTTTCTTTCTGTTTCCATATTGTTGTGCAGTTGCTCCAGATCGCAATTCCAGTACGGTTTGTATTCGTTACGCGCACCTCTTGGAACTGCTTCTATGGCTGAGTGCAGCATGTGTACTATAAATGTTACTATATTTCTTAGACTATTCAGACAGGTGATGCACAGCACAAAAGGAAAATGATTGAAGGAAAAAATATTATCAGGGATCGCGTCTTATGAAACCAACATAAAAAATTATTAGCACCATCTTGATAGCCTTTATTCACAAAGTTCAAGAATGAATCTTAGTTAACCTAGTCAACAAGTGTTCGGTGAAGTCGTATGTGTCTGGCAAAAATCGCTAATATCGGAGCTTTGCTGTAAAGAGGCAGAACATATTCACATCACTCGGACAGGCAAAAAGAAGTATGGAAAAGAATATGATAGAATAAGCAATTATTTGCAATAAAACCATGTTATCAGAAGTCACACACACACACAAAATCTTTCGGAACCAGGTTTGTTTTCAAAACCCGCTATCCCATAACAGAGCATTCAATCTTATATAAAAAGCTCCATATTTCCATCTCTTTGAGAGGCTGGTGTGGTTATAGGACAGCACGTATGATAGCAGTTAAATATTTCATGTATATATATATATATATATATATATATATATATATATTAGGGCTGTACCAAATATTCGCTTCGTATTCGCTTCGTGCCGAATAGTTTACCTATTGACTATTCGGTATTCGACCGAATAGTTGCGGTCGGGCCGAATACGAATAGTAGTTACCTTACTAACGCTTCTGCATACACGGCTTTAATATTCACAACATAGAATGATTGGTTTTGTTCAAAGCTAAGGCAGTTTTCATGCATTAACTAAGCTGTCAGTGACAATTTCCACGTTTAGTTATTTGTTATAAAACTTAGGATTCTTTCATTCCTAGTTATTAGTTACCACAGACTAAAGGATGCAAAACATAAAATATGTTTAAATGTTTACTATCATGTACACATACTAATTAGACATGGAAAAAATATACACTCTGGCCACAACCAAGTCGATAATTTAAAAAATAAAACAGACGGAAACATGTGAGTACCTGTGTGCAAACTTCAACTGCTTCAACATGCTAAGAGAAGAAATACAATCTTGAATACAACCTAGAAATCTGCTAAACTCAAAGTGTCTGTCTCGCAACACCAAGATCAAAATATATAAAACGTTGATAAGATCAGACGTTTTATATTGCTCTGCAACTTGAAGCAAAAATAAAAGAGATGAGGCCTTATTACAGGTTTTCGAAAATAGTCTTAAGATAAATCTTTGGACCCATCAAAGATGCTAAAAGCGGGGAAAGGAGAGTGAGAAGCAACAACGTAACACATAATCTGTTTAAATCACCATTGATCACTGGCATCATTAGAGCAAAACAGACTAAAATGGTTGGGGCATATTGAAAGAATTTCAGATGACAGAGAAGTAAAAACTGTATACACCTGATAGGGGAAATAGGCGTAGACCACGAGGCAGACAAAAACGAAGTTCGAGAGATAATGTCCAGCCAGACCTGGAAACAACTGGTGTCACAAATTGTGAAGATTAGACCAGCCAGAGAGAAAAATGGAGACGAGTGATATCTGCAGCAGTAAACCTCAAGGGCTCGGAATGCTAAAGAAGATGACTATTCTGTGCTACTTTTTGTGAAGTAAAAGTTCATCGTACATTTAACATTGTGAATTTGTGTATGTATGTGTGTGTTTTTTTTTTTAATATATATTTTTTATACACTATTTACTATTCATATTCGTATTCGGCCGAATAGTTGGTCCCGTTATTCGTATTCGGCCGAATAGTGAAAATCACTATTCGGTACAGCCCTAATTTACATACATATATTATATATAAATATATATATATATATATATATATATATATATATATATATATATATATATATATATGTGTGTGTGTGTGTGTGTGTGTGTGTGTGTGTATGTGTATAAGACATATACTACGACATTATTTATTTAATGAAGTTTTACATTCCAGGTAGTTTTCTTAGATGAGCCATCCTCAGGTATGGATCCATCGACAAGACGACTTGCTTGGGATGTTTTACAGAAACATCGTAAAAGCCGTACTATTCTTCTTAGTACTCATTACATGGATGAAGCCGATGCACTCGGAGATCGTATTGCTATCTTAACTGAGGGAGTTGCAAAGTGTTGCGGGACTTCTTTATTTTTGAAAAAACTTTTTGGTATGTATAACCCTTTTAGAAACTGAAATATTTTATCCTTTTTTTTTATCTTTATTTATATGTTCTGCAGGCCTAGTTATCATGTAGATGCTTCATTTCGTTATTTTTATGTTTCAAATTGTCAAACATATTTAGGTTTTCGTAAAACAATATGCAACTCAATAATAAGAAACTCCAACTGAAAGTAACACCCTGTTTGGGCAAAAAACTGTGCAATTAAAGAATGTAGATAACACATCAGAAATGAGCTGAATGACATCATTGACCATTCATGCTCCGTCCTCAGGCCCAGCGATCATTTCTGAGAACCACTTTCCGCATGCACTCGTATATCCTCGTTTGATACCCATTTCCAAGAAGTCGATTGTCCTAATATGTACAGCTAAAATGGTTTTTTGAGGCTGGACTTTTTGATGCTGTCAACCCATTCTAGTCGAATTAGGCCAGTCGAATCTGCTTAAACATTCTCACTGAGTCTGTCGTTGTGAGTGCATGAGTTGCTTTCTATCTGCCGGCCATTCAAGCGTCTATACGTTAGCTTGTATCGCCATCGGCATACCATAAGTAGTTGTGACGAATACTTAACTTCTTCTTTCACTATATTCTCTGACGTACATGCCGCACCTCGTGAATAATTGAGCCATCTGTGTAGATGAGACGTCACCTGGTTGAGTTAGTTTGGTGATGAGAACACCTATTTCTTTTTCAGCAGTTGTTTCGTTCCATTCTCTATCCAGGATTATTATTAATTACTTCAGTGTGCATTTGCATTCTTTCTGTTGTTTCTAATAAATTCCTTCTGTCACTTCTCTCTCTCTCATTCCCCCCCTCTCTCTCTCTCTCTCTTCTCTCTCTCTCTCTCTCTCTCTCTCTCTCTCTCTCTCTCTCTCTCTCTCTCTCTCTCAGGAGCTTTTTGGTGTTTGGTGATATTGCGCCCAGAGGTAATCTCTGTCAAGTAGGGTGTATATCGCTAGGCTCGACACGAGGCATTTCTTGTGGATAAGTCTCATGACTCTATGTATCATTGCTCTGGTCTTTCCAGCTAAGGGTTCCTGAACAAAAAGAAACGATGGCGGCCGCGCTTAATATTGAGGATGGGAGAAAGGGGTCAACCCTTAGTTGATGAATTGGATAGCAGCTGTCCTGTATTCTCGTTGGGTTGCTCTCTGTCTGGATTAATTGACCCCAGAGCCACGTATTATAGCCCAGAGACTGCAACAAGGATCCCCACTCTCATCTGTGCTCTCTAACGTGTATACGGGCACGATTGAAAGCCAAGAAACCGAGAGTCGGAAGTATACTAATATTTGCAGATGATTTTCTCGCTAATAAAAAGGGGAGAGATAAAGAACAAACCGACCAGGAGCTACAGTGACAATATACAAAGTGACTGACTTGTCTACAGAACTGACTGCTGTCGTCCACCCACAAAAGGCGTGTTTTGTGGTATTCTATAGACAATAGGATTGTTACAAATTTTTTGTTTGTTTTTGATTGTTAAAATGTGAAGACGGTCGTACCATAAGTCTTATGAGTCATTTGACAAAAATATTACTAAGAATAATTATGAGAAGAATACCAAACAAGATTAAACCAGAAATTAGTGAAGAACAATGTGAATTTGTGAAAGAAAAAGGTACAAACAATGGCAAATACATCCTCTGATAGAATTTTTTTTTTTGAAAAAGGGTTACAAATGATGCACTCAGCTCGTCTTACATTCGTCCCATCCAAAAATCCACCTTACACACAGCAGTTGCATATTATCAATAGAGCATGTTATAATCATAGAATAAAATACATATTTTAAATACCAAGAAAAAAAAATACAAAAGCATGGGTGGTAAAATGCATGGGCACCCTCGCGATAAATAACCAATGAAACGTGGGCAGATTCGAAGAGACAAAAAAAAAAAAGATTCCAAACGTCAGTTAGTAACGGAGAAATCAGTTCCCTTTCAACAAAAATTTAAAACCATAAGTATTATTGTATAGAAATTTAAGTATGTTATTGATGGGTGGAAATACAACCACATACTTTGGTTAGGTGAATTCTAAAAAGGCGTCCACATAAAACTGTGGTTCTGCTAGCTCCGTCTGCAATAATAGGAGTACTCATCATGTAGCAGGTCCTTACGTCGCTCTCATCACGGTCTGCCTGAAAGAAACTCGGTCTCTCGCCAGCCTCCTGCCTCATGCACTTTCATATTCAAGGAGTCACTTATATCCTGTGCGCATCTTCGTGTCGGTTGACCCCTGCCCCTCCTTCCTAGTACCATGCCTTCTGCTATAATTCTTTTCCAATCCGTCGTGTCGCTTGATATGACCACAATATTTCAGCTCCCGAGACAGGATGCTGTTTATTAGCCAATCTTCCTTGATGTTCAGATCTTTCAAGATATCAGTATTTTTCTTTTTCGTCCAAGATATTCTGAGAATCTTTCTTTAGCATTTCAACTCAAAAGCCCCTATTCTCTTTCTTAAGGACTGAGAGATAGTCCACGATTCACATCCGTATGTTGCTTCAGGAAAGATGCATGCTCTAGAAATTCTAATTTTTATATCCTTGCTGGTGCATAACCATTGACTTTTTAGCCTGTTCAATCTTTGCATTGCTATGGCCATCCTTCTTTTAATTTCTGTCAAACAGTCTCCATTGCTATTTATTATAAAGCCTAGATATTCAAAGTTTGTGACATTTTCAATTTCTTCACCATTTATTTTTATTTTTTTATTTTTTGGGTGACAGCTAGTTTTATCTGTGGACATTATTTCGTTTTCTTGAAATTTAAGATCCGATTCTGATCTTCACAAGTCATCAAAATATACCAGCAATTATGCAACAGTTTCAGAACAGTATGTAAACAGTACCGATACTCTTCCGATGCCAGAAATGTTGATAGCAGATCTTCAAGAAATTGTTTTACCACAGTGAATAATTATTTTCACAGATACAGCATCAGCTGAACAAAATATTGTTATGATTTTATCATTTGGAGGATGTTTTGCTGTCTATTTACTTCCACACCAGGGGCTCCCAGTCGGTACTGTGTGGAGCACTAAGGGCGCTACATGCACTTCCCAGGAGCTCGCTCAGTAACTGCTCTAGGAAAAAATACAGAAAGTAATTGAAATTACGGATTTAGATAAATTTTTACACAAAGTAGAATCACAATGTGAAAACTAGAAACTAAACTCCGAATAGAAATTTGCCAGGCTGAATTCAGCGCATCCTCTACTTTATCAGTCTGCTTTCATTAGCTAAAAATAACTGCAGGGCTAGGAAAAATGAACGAACCAACTCATTTATTTTTAAACGTTAGAAATTAAATGTCTAATATTCTGGCCCTTCTGTCCAGTCCTTGCATACAATTATTCATTCGTACATCATTTCATAGTTAATAATAGTTTTAAAAAGCAAATTGACAGCATCTAAGTCTTAATTACAAACGCTGTAATGTACTCTTACATTACTGAACGTTTCAAAAAGTCTAACAGGTTGCATAGTATAAACCCCATTACCAACACTTAAAATTAGTTACAAAAGCTGGAATGAGTGAGACTGGCATCTTAATTTTAAAAACAATGTTAATGTTTAGAGGAAAACATTAAAAAAAAAAAGATATCCGGTGCAAATGCTTAACATAAAATAATCTTTTTTATAGGGCATATAGTCTGTAGTCAGATAATTTTCAAACATTTTCCGATTGTGTGTATAGGGGTTAGTGGTATTGTTGATTGCACACCTGAGCTGCAGAGTACGCCAAGCTTGTTTTGTATAGGTCTATATTCTAGGCTTAGAGAAATGCAATATGTTCAGGCGTTTGCTTTGCCTTCCACTGTGTTTAAATAATGACCAAAAGTAAAATGGAGAATTTGTGAATATGATTTTGTGAATAAGGTTAGCTCAACTGAATAGTAGGCGTTCCGTGAGCGGTAATAGTATAAGTTCTTTATAAAGGCTGGAACAGTCGCTTCCATGATTATTAGTTATTAAAAGCACAGACAGCACAACTGGTAGGTCATGGGCCCTTCCCTGATTCCTTGGAACTGCATATTGTCGAAAATACCAGCACCTAACTAAAACCAGTTACAAAAAAAGTAAATTGAATATTTGATTCCCAGAAATAAATGATGACCTGTCTCTGTGTAATCTCAAGAAACGTGTTGACTAACAGTTCCATAATTCCTGCTAACCCTAGTTGACAGAAAAATCAACTAATTTCTTTTTTTTTTTTTTTTCCTTTCAGAGAAAGTGAACAGAATTTATAGCTTCATAGAAAACTGTGACAAACCTTCCTAAAACAAATAATAAAAAACGAACTGGTTGCTTCCTAATTAAAATCTGATATGTTAGTGAAGCTAACACCATTGCAAATACTCTAATTAAATCTTGTACAATCCACTAGCGCAACCATTTTTAGCACATAAATGTTGTGTGTGTCGGTTTTTATGTTAGTCATTATTAATAACTATGTATACATTCGCAACACAGGAACTGGCTATCATCTAGTCATTGTCAGAGAATCTAAATGTGACATCAATGAACTGACTGATGTTATCAAATCATTCATTCAGCAAGCCGAAGTCGAATACGTTAACTTAATGGAAGTGTCCTACTTACTTCCTGAAACAGAATGCGCAATGTTCCCCACACTTTTTCGACATCTAAAGGCAAACACGAGCAGTCTACACATCCTGAGTTTTGGAACTACAGCCACTACAATGGAAGAAGTTTTTCTGAAGTATGTATCACTGAATATGTTGTTGATCTGATATTTTCGCAATATGTCCCACATCATCTAGAAATAATACAGGCATTACTGAATTGTGTATTCTGTGTGTGTGTGTGTGCGCGCGCGTGCGCGTGTGTGCGTGTATGCGCGAGCCTTTGGATGGGTGGGTGTGTTGGGTTGGTGGGATGTTCGTGGGTGAGTGCATGTTTTATTTCTAGACAAGCGATTGTAGTTTATTGGAAGGATTTCGATAGTCTCTTGAGA